GTGTGTGTGTGTGTGTGTGTGTGTGTGTGTGTGTGTGTGTGTGTGTGACTGTGCACATTTAGGAAGAGGCGGAGTTGAATTTCCTGCAGAAAGCGCCTGAGAGGAGCCCGCGTGTGTCACTCTAGAAGCTGGATTAGCGCTGTAAGTCTCCACAGCGCTGAAGGGCAGAGCCCTCATTCTGCCAAGAGGAAAAGAGTGTTTTGGGTTGAACCTTCAGAGTGAAGCCTGCCAGATCACAATCGCAGCTCGAGTCAGTCACACTAATAACACACCAGCGGGACGCGCCTTGCACCTTAGCTTATCCTTAATGTGAAGGCATGCTTGACCTTTTATTTATTTGAGATCTGTTACACACCATCAGAAATTTACAAACCATTTGATATGTTTCTAGAATGACTTTCTATTTTCAAGGCAGCCATTGACTTTCATTCATTTTGGTGCTCAGAATCTGTCCATCGGTGCGGTCCCGGTGCAAGATTGGCGTCCTACACCGAAATAGCGTCGATCCCAGCTCAGTCCCTGGGGGCCCATTGCGAGAATGTTAGCATGCTAACATTAGCATTTCGGTCAGAGCGTCTCCGTTACGTAAGTGCAGCCGTGGTACCTTAAGAAGTACTGTCACACACAAGAATTGTAGGAAAAAACAATGTCTTTTAAAGTAATGTGGGATTTTTCAAGATTGTGACGTGAGGCAGAAGATTTAAATCTTCCTCAATGTCTGGTTTCTTTGGTGTTCCTTGAGGAAAACAACAAAAAAAATAGAGTTTCTGAGAGCTGAACCAGTTCTGTCTGTTACTTGAAAGACCGTCATTACGCAGACAGATAATAGGTCTGTTTGACTGGATGGACTGTGGTCGCCTCGTAATGCGGAGATTGCCATCGGTGTTTTGTCTGGGCTGTAACCACTATGTGTAGTCTCTTTCTTTGCCTTTATCTCTTAACATTTTCTCAGGCATTCATTTTCCTCTTCGGCCCACCCGTCTGCCCCTCTATGTATGGAGGACCCCGGGGATGTCCCACAAAACAAACGTTGTGTCACACTGTGGCGATGAACACAATCAGAAGACTTATTCTAAATGGGGCTATACAGTTATACATTTCCTGTGGGATGAGCAACCATTGACTTTTTATGACCCAAAATGGATTTTGCTTTCTAAATGTGACATCTCATGTTAAAACTCGGCATCGCATTACGCTTCTTTGGAGTTGCCGAAGTGAGCGATGACACGGGGGGACTTAATGCAGCAGTGAGTGCCTCCATTGTTGCACTGGATTACAGTCATGGCTCTCTGTCAGGTTTTGGGAAGGTGGCCAAAGGGATTAATGCAGATTCTCTCCTGTAAGGCCCTGAACCACCCTACCATCAAATCACAGCCAGATGACCTAACCACACTGCCTGTTACAGTCACGTCAGCTCCACGGGCTAAAAAAAAAAAAAGCCTCTTGTTATGTACAGTTTTAATAAGCACTCTTATAAAAGTTAAAGCTGCTCTAATTCATATTTCATGTTTTTGTAAATCTGAAAGAGGACGCTCATAATGACGAGCTCACGGAGAAGGATCACCTGACTCTGCAGTTCCCATCAGCTCTATGGAGCTTTTCAGCGTCTTTCAGCTCATTGTTTTGGTTTTAAGGCCCGCAATGTTAATGTTTTTGGTTTACGCTCACTGCTCTCATCATCATCATTTCCAGATGCAACAGGCAGCTGCTTTTAGCCACAAAAAAAGCTCCTATAACTACTCATGTCCTGCCCAGCACCAAACAACAGAAATTAGCGACTAGCTGGTCAACATAGCGGAGGATTTAGCAGCAAATATTAACCCGATATTTCCGACAGAGGATATCTTAACGAGGCTAAAAACAGCCGAGAAAGTGAAGGAAAGGAAACGTGCACGTTTTTGCTGACTCAAAATTGTAATTATTCCAAGGACGGAGCACAATGATTGCGCTGCAATTGTAGGATCATACATCCACATTTTGACTAGTTTCATCTGCTTTCATCACATCCATCATTCATTGTATAAATGGGCAATTCCGCTGCCCATCACACAAAGCTGACGCTAAGCTAACGCTCTGCAGGTGTACAGTTTCTTTTGCTAAACAAAAAAAGTTGGGCAGCCATTGTGCTGCAGGCTGTGAGTGTGTGTGTGTGTGTGTGTGTGTGTGTGTGTGTGTGT